ATGTAGCTACAAAGTCCAGTTTCACACTCCTTAGTTACCTCAATCCCTTTGTTTCGAATTGAGGAATCACAACAAATTCTTTTGGTTTCTCTTTTAGCTCAACCCATCCTGGATTTAGACGGAACCTTAAAGCAGAAATGGTATCGATATTTAAAAGAATTCACTCTTTAGTTTTATACGCTAATGGTATAGTAATTTTTTTGATACTAGCAGCTATGAATGTACGTCACGTCACGTGTGCGTGATTTGAATGAATTTGAAATTTGAATTCATGTTATATGGTATAATTTAAATTTATTAATATAAAAAATAAATTATACAACTTAGAGAATTATAAGAAACTTATCCTATTTTTTTTTAAAAAAAAAATTATAAGAAATCTGTTTAGATTGGTCTATTTTTCAAAAACTAATTTTTTAAATACAATGTTACAATAATACATAAGCAAAAACAACTCTAAAAACATCTTATCCATATAATATATAAAAAATAACTCATAAATATACAAACAAAAATATTAAAAAAATAAAATGTACAACACTTTCCGTCTATGAAGAGTGAAGAGTGAAGGAGAGGGAGAAGGAAAATGGAGGAAGAGAGAGAAGAAAGGAAAAAAGACGGGATGGTGGCGGTGGTGAGTGGTAATGTTAATTTTTACAAGCTACTCTAAAATTTTTTTTAATTTTAAAAGTTACATCAAAATATATTCAAAAAACATCTACAGTAAAAATTTTTTATATATACTATTATAATAAAATATTTCAAAACTGCGAATCCAAACGGAGTCATATCCTCTTTAAAAATGCACCGCACATGGCTTTATCAACTTCAGAAAGGTCCAAATTGAATTTGGACAAAAGAATGATACTAGTAGATTAGAAAAGAAGACTAATTCGCACAAAGCGTATAGCAAAAGGGGTATTGTCATCAATGATTCGAATTTGGAAAATGAGTTGGGTATTCCAAATTTTGACCAAACCAAAAGAACGAGACTTGTTTTGGTCGCAATCAAATAGTAAAATAAACAGACCGACTCTCCGTGAAGTGTGAACGAGAGGGGGTGGTCACCAATTCACCAACTTTGACCCGTTCAACCCCCGATTGCTTGCCCAAAGAATTTGAATACATCTGGCTCCTTTGCCTCCATAATCTGTAGCGTCTGGTTTTTCGTCTAGGATACTTTGTCTAATTATTTTAATAAAATAAGTTTGAAATTGTGTTGAAGTTTAATTTGTTTATTAATTAGAATTGAATTCAAATACATTTTTATCAGGTTCGAATTTGTCTAATTATTTTAATAAATTTGAAATTGTGTTTAAATTTAATTTATTTATTTATCAGAGTCGAATTTAAATGACTTTTTATCGAATTCAAATATTTTTAAACTCTTTTAATTTGACTTACAGCCATGACAATTGAAAGTATAGAACCAGCGGCTGGGACAAAAGAAAAGAGACCAGCAAAGCAACTCCTCAGCAGTTCAAATATATTCTCTCCCCGTTTACGTTTCCGCCGCCGCCTCCTCCTCCTGCCGATATATATACATCTCTAGTCATCTTCTTGGACTCCTTCTATACACACAAAGAAAGAGAAAAAGATCGTGCATGAGACACGGTTTCTAGAACACGTTGCCAGTGAGGTGGGGGGGACTAATACTAGCATAATTTTGACCATTTAAATTTGGTGGCATTGCTTGTTATTCTCAATCTTTTCTGCGTATATTCCCAGAAGCCCTCTTCGACTCTCATTTCTTCTAATTCTTCACTGGCCACAACACGTTGAAGGAAATAAACACTCTGATTTCCTCTTTTCCCTTTTTTCCTAATATACTTCCTCTAGTAAAACTCCTGCATCCATTTCATTTTCTGGCGCTCTCTCCCTCTGCATCCGGGGCTTCTATCCTTCTTTAGTGAAGAGATCGTTGAAGCTATCTGGGTTTGAGATTCACCTTAGAGGTAATTACTTTTTCTGGGTTGTTTTATTTATTAATGGTACTTATGTAGCATACATTAGTATATCACCATAAAGATCTGTTCTTGATTTATTTTTTGGCTAGATTTTATTTCTGCATTTTATGTTCTTGCGTTGTATGATGCTTCAAATAATATTTTATTTTATGTTTGAACTTCTAATCCTGGTTTTGTTTTAAAATTAACAACTTCAGCGGTGTATCCGATCTACTTCACAACAGATTTCATTGTGAGGGTTTTATGCATGGTGATTGGTTATTGATATTTAGCTGAATTTGATCTGTCAAGTGTCAGCAGACGGATTTATACAGAAACGACCGGATTTAACTGCCTGATCTCTTGATTATGGCGGTTGATTTACACATTTTTTCGACCAGATTTAACTGCCTGTCCTCTTGATTATTGCGGTTGATATACATATTTTTTTTTCCTCTGTCTCTTTCTGTGGAACCAGATTGTGGCTACTTTACAACTACAATAGAACTGCATTTAGGTTGATAAGTTGGAAAATCTGTCATGACCTTCTCTCGGAACAATATGAATGTATTTCCCTGCAATTGTGTAGTCTCCCAACAAATTATTGGTTTTCTCTTTTTTTCAATGCTTTGGCTCACATTTTGTCAAGTACGCTTTATGAGACACAGTATTCTCCAGAAATTCTCAATCGGAATCAACTCTAGATCATTTTCTTCTCTCTCTCAGTTGTCTGTTTTTGTCTTCTCTAAAATGTTTCTGCTTATCTCACCAATTCTTGTTATGTTTGAGCAGGGAAATAATGGAAGAAACAAAGACAAAGGCGCCATTGCTCGCCCCTTCATCAGGGAAATTTCCAGATTATAAGAAATCAATCAAGTTGAAATATGTCAAACTTGGTTATCACTACCTTATCACTCATGCAATGTACCTGTTCATTACCCCCTTTGTAATTGTAATTGCAGCACAAATGTCCACCTGGTCTCTCCCTGATCTTTACGAGCTATGGGATAATCTCCAGTATAACCTCATTTCGGTGATCCTGTGCTCAAGTCTCATAGTTTTCATATCGACCATCTATTTCCTCACTCGTCCTCGTCCAGTTTACCTTGTTGATTTCTCCTGCTACAAGCCTGATGAAGCTCAAAGATGCACAATGAAGACTTTCATCGATCAGTCCGAAATGGTTGGCTCATTCGCAAAAGAGAATCTTGAGTTTCAAAGGAAAATCCTTCAAAGGTCTGGCCTTGGAGATAACACTTATCTTCCTGAGGCTGTCCTTAATATACCTCCAAATCCATCAATGAAAGAAGCTAGAAAAGAGGCCGAGGCTGTTATGTTTGGTGCCATCGATGAGCTTTTGGCAAAGACTAAGGTAAAAGCAAAAGACATTGGAATTTTGGTTGTCAACTGTAGCTTGTTCAATCCAACTCCATCTTTGTCTGCAATGATAATTAATCATTATAAACTTCGAGGGAACGTAGCCAGTTATAATTTAGGCGGCATGGGATGTAGTGCAGGTTTAATTTCTATTGACCTAGCTAAAAAACTCCTTCAGTTCCATCCAAACTCATATGCCTTGGTCGTCAGCATGGAGAACATCACTCTGAATTGGTATTTTGGAAATGACCGATCGAAGCTTGTATCCAATTGTTTGTTCAGAATGGGAGGTGCTGCAATACTACTTTCCAACAAATTCTCGGAAAAAAGAAGATCGAAGTATCAATTGGTTCACACTGTTCGCACCCACAAGGGTGCCGATGATAAGTGCTATGCCTGTGTCTTTCAAGAAGAAGACGCGGATGGAAAGATTGGAGTTTCTTTATCAAAGGAGCTCATGGCTGTAGCTGGTGATGCATTGAAGACCAATATCACTACTCTAGGACCTCTTGTTCTCCCAATGTCTGAGCAATTGCTTTTCTTTGCTACGCTAGTTGGGAAGAAACTATTCAAGATGAAGCTCAAGCCTTACATCCCCGATTTTAAACTAGCTTTTGACCATTTCTGCATTCATGCTGGAGGTAGAGCCGTCCTGGATGAACTGGAGAAGAATTTGCAGCTATCTGAATGGCATATGGAGCCATCAAGAATGACACTGCATCGATTTGGCAACACCTCAAGCAGTTCTCTGTGGTATGAATTGGCTTACACGGAAGCCAAGGGAAGAGTAAAAAGAGGACACAGGGTATGGCAAATAGCATTTGGTTCAGGTTTCAAGTGCAACAGTGCTGTATGGAAGGCCCTCAGAACTGTGAAGCCTGCAAAGGAAAAAAACCCCTGGATGTCTGAGATTGATAAGTTTCCCGTGGAGGTTCCAAAGGTAGCAAACATTTGAGGTTCGCAGATGATATTGAGCATATTCTCAGTTCTGTTAGTCTATAGAGGTTGCCATCGTTAGTTTTTCTGTTTTGTTCTGGCCTAGATTAGTTACTTTTACTTATATGAAGGGGGCGATTGACTGGGGTTTTATTTATCTAAAGCTCTAAGACTTAGCCATCAACAATGTACATGAGTTCAGACAAAAGGTTCTGATCCCTAGCTCAGGACGTGGATCAGTGAGAACATCGTTAGAGATGGTTGGCATTTCCTTTTGGCCAACTCTATGACTCAGATATTTGAGCATGTCAAGATTGCGTTCTTAACCCTCTTTACCTGGCGGAACGTCTTTGTGCGAGTATTATTACTGGTACAACCATAAGCTGCACCTTTTGTCACGATACGGTGCATCTAAACTGCGAATAGGGCAAGAAGTAGTCTTCGGTTTATGCTCTCACAACCATTTTGTGACAGAGTACTCAGTAGGGAGGCGTCTGATTCAGAAAAAGGCCTTAGAAAACTAGAGACCAGATTAGGATTTAAGCGTATGGAATATTGTTACATTAGATCTCTAATATTCAACTCGCTCAGGACCAAAATGACCAAGTTCAGGAAGAATAGCAACGCTAGAGCCCTAATTTTTAGCTGGCTCAGGATCGAAATGACTGAGCTCAGAAAATAATAGCACACCAATCTCTCTAATGAATTTTGAGGTTAGTTAAGTCTGCCAGTACATGCAACGATCAGGAAACAGTCTTGGCACCGGAATATATAGAAAAGCACAAATATAACAGACTTGAGAAACATGGCTTTATTTACACATTCAAATCCACCAGAATATAAAGACAAAGACACGATCCTAATAGCCTATGATTGTAACCACGTCTACAGCATCTAAGAAGCAGCTAGAATTCATGCAGACCAGTTTAGATGCACAAGCAAAGTGACACGGGGTTAAGTCAGCCAGTCTTCTGAAAGTGAATTCTCTCAACTAAAAGAAATCCACCATCCGTTGGAAACTAGTCCTTGGATGATTTGTTGATAAGTGACTTGTGGATGTGCGGAATCACACCTCCACCAGCAATGGTTCCTTTGATCAGTGTATCGAGTTCTTCATCACCTCGAATTGCCAGCTGCAAATGTCTTGGAGTAATACGTTTCACCTTAAGATCCTTACTTGCATTGCCAGCAAGCTCCAACACTTCAGCAGTCAAATACTCCAAGATAGCTGCAGAGTAGACTGCCGCTGTTGCACCCACTCTCCCATGTGCTGTTGTCCTCTGTTTCAGTAAACGATGGATCCGACCAACTGGAAACTGCAGTCAAATGCGATATACAGTCATTTCACTAAGAGAATTGGTTAGCTAACACATCATATTCGGCTTAGCAAATAACAGCTAGTACAAACATTTAGAACCAAGAAAACAATAAATCCAACTAACAAATGACCTTTGAAAAAGTAGACAAGTTAAAGAATTACTCCATAACCACAAAGAACCCTAATTTCTCATTAAACAAGAAAGAGGGAAGGGGGGGGGGGTGGAAGAAAAACTTAAAGCAAATACACGAAATCAAAAACAATAACCAAACAACAAGAAGACATACAGATGTCCCCAACAGTCAGAAAACTTTCAGTGTGTTCATAAACATGAATATGCAACAAAATATCACTGCTAAACAGTAAACAAATACATAAGAAATTTTACATTTGCTAGTCATTAAGAAGAAGGGAACGGCAAAAGAGAGGAAGAAAATACTAAGATGAAGAAATTCAGTTTGATTTCTTCCTGGCTCTCAATAGTTATCCTATCTTGCATGAGTGGAGAGCACATAATGGCCAAAGAAAGAAGAAAAAGAAGAAGAAGATGAGGTAACAAAAGAAAGTTATTCATGTCACACAGATCCATATGAACAAGAACCGGGTTGATATGTTCCTGAAACATCCGCAGTTGGTTATTGAATACTTACAAAACAAGTTCAACTTCTAGAACAAACCGACAAAACTGATTTGAGCATTTCAACCAAAGATCGTTTTTTGTCTCTTACTTTCTGGGGATGTGGATCATGGAAGAGTAACATGTAAACTGTCCAATGATCTTATCTCCTTTTATTTTTGATCATTTGAGTTTTACTGATAAGGCATCACTGACTTTGAAATTAAGAATAGAACATTCTTCTCTTTTTCTTCCTTTCCTCTTTTAATAGTTTCATTTTCACATAGCATTAGATTGTATTACCACATGAATAAGACATTTTACAAATCCATAAAAATGAGCATTCAAATTCCTAGGTAGAAACTATAAACTAATCATTCAAATGCACAGAAGTAGAGTAAATCTACGGGCTTATTTCCACAATATTATAGTTTTTAATCAATTTTACAAAATATCGCACCTTTTAAATTAATTAAAAGCCCAATAATAATGTAAATAACCGCAGAATCTCCGCATGCATAACTTTGTGTATTTTTGCAGGGTCAGGGCCTTCATATCATATGGTAAAAGAACAAATCTTAAACCCAAATAAACAAATAAGAAAACCATGCAAAAGGAAGAAATCAATAAGAAAATTGAAAAACAAAACAGGAAGGGAAGAACACAAAACTCGCTTCGGAAGGGTAGTCAGGAATTCGGTTTTTTTTTTGAAAAAAAAAACGAAAAAAAAGGGTTGGGAAAAAGTACTTGGAGGCCGGCACGAGAGGAACGAGAAGTAGGTTTCTTCTTGTCCTTGTCTTTGTCCTTGTTAGCCGCAGCGGACGCGGAGGAGTTTTTGCCCGTTATCAAACCCTTGGCGCCTTTTCCCGACATTTTTTCCCGCCAAATCCCTCCAACCGATTGGAAGGGCTTTCAGTTTTTATCAAGGCTTGAGAACGAAAAAGAGGCTTTTTGGAGCTTCCGGTTCGGGTTTTGATCGACGGGTCGCAACTCACAAGTCACAAACGAGGCAGCAGGCAGTCCAGTCGAAGACGGAGAGAAAGAGAGAAGACGAGAGGAGGAAAGTTAACGTGCAAGGCGCGCGCAGTAATGGAATTGTCATAAAGGGGGGATGCCGTAACGTATTTAGGTTACCCTCAATTTCGTAGGAATTTGCACAACTGTCCGCTTTGCATCCACTGCCATTGAGGGTAAAAGGGTAATTTCGTGTGCCCCATGGGTACTCCTGACGAGATTTGCTCTTTACCTCTTCTGTTCCCAGGCAGCTGGATAAGGATCACTCAAAATCCCCCTCTTTCCTTACAACGTTAGTCTGTCGGGAAATTTCAACACATATTTAACTCGTGTTACACTTTCTAACTTTACCAAATCGTCCTAAAACAGTAAAGAAATCTTCAGCTCTTGAACTCGTATAACCACCGGTTCAGTAGATAAGGCAATTTGAAATAGTCCAGCTTTTAAGAATTTCTAGAATTTTTAAAGCCGCATTACGTTGATATAAATCTCTGCTAAACCTTTACAAGAATTAAAGGTTAGAAGAAGTTAACTTTTAAATAGCTTGAAAAGGAAAAGGTTAGTCAATCACACTTGGATTAGAACACGCTTCACCATATACTAACTTCCGCAACTGTAGCTGCTCAACTTAAAACTGGAAATACTTGAGAAACTGGTACAGACATAGGCCTTGATCTTGATTGCTTTAGATTTTACAAAATCTGATTATAGACAATAATCAACATCAATAAAAGCAACCTTTTATAAGTTATATTTTTTTTATCATTATAAAATCTACAATCAGAATATAAAAGTAATTGAGAACATCACAAAAACTGATTACTCGTGATCAAAATGTATAATCTGTTAAAATAATCGATTTGAGTACAACAAGCCCATGCTCACGGGAAGTGGTGTAAACTAAAGTGCCAATCATCCCTTGAACCGTCATGAAATAACCGCAAAACTTCAAGAATTTCCAAAACTTCAATCCCAACACGTGCGGTCATAAGGTAATGAACATAACCCACATTTTATAAACGCGCGCCGTACAAGCACATTTCTAATGAATCATCATCACCAGTCATGTAGTAGCTAGCTTCCAGCGAGACCTTGATATACATACAGACAATAACTAAGTGCACCAAGCAATGGTCGCGGGTTTACCACAATAGCTGTTCTTAAGAAAGCAGATCCGCGAATTTAAACTAAAGATATCCTGCCTAGAGGCAAAGGAAAGACAATTAGACTGACGTCCGACAGAGGAGGAATCTTTGTACGTGGCATTTGACATCCCAACCAACACAGATATCATCAGCCCCTCAGGCGTTCTCCATCTCTTCTTTCTCCCTTGACTTTCCCTCATCTGTAATGTGGAACCCCTCAATTTTGCGGGAAACTTCATCTGCACTAACCTTCACCCTTCCTGTTCCACCATTTGCTGCAATAGGCTCACTCTCATCATTAATCAGTGGCCCTGTTTGCCATATTCTGATTGTTCCATCTTCAGATCCTGAGGCATATGTTTCCCCGCCTGGTGCAAAGCGAACACAGTGCACAGGACCATGGTGACCCTTGTTACATGCTGCACCCATAAGATAAATACTTAGCGTGAAACTGGAGACCAACCAAGGATGTATTCCCTAAACCTTCAAGCGTCAGGTTAGTACATGTACATCAACTAATTGAAACAAGACAAAAAGAAAATCAGACACAACATGGGATATAAGGAGCCTGTAAAGGAACCAGCCAGGCCAGGATTTAGAAGGTCAAGGGTCAATGAGAAAATAATATCTATGCCTAGGGGCCCCGACATTCTTTTCATATTACAATCCATGTCTCATAATTTTGTAATATGCGGTCCAAAATCTGAAGTTGGTTCACTCTAAATCTCGTTTATTTTACTGACGTACCTATCTCGTCACCAGTATGAAAATCAAAAACACGAATCCACATGTCTTCTCCTGCAGCAACAAATTTGAAACCATATTTGGGTTCCAAAGAAGCTGACTCTACAGTGCATGGCATGTTGTAGCTCTTAACCAATCCAAAACTGCAAAACAAGAAAACACATGTGACTAGAAGTTAGGCCCGCAGAATCAAGACAAATGCATCTGATTTTCGTTGAACTCACTGATTTGCATCCCAGAACTTCACACTGAAACCATCGGCAGTTGTAATGTATCGACCATCTTGACTAACTTCAGCACTAGTAACGGGTGATTTAGTCTCTAGTGTTTCGACCACTTTGCCAGTTCTGACATCCCATAATCTGAAATGGGAAATAAACCATTAGAAGATAAGCTTCAACCTCCTGTAAGATCTCAAACACATTATAGAGAATCTGAAACACGAAAAACAAGTACGGACAAAAAAGTAAATGAAATGCCAGGTTATAGCAATAAAGCTTATCTTATTTTCAAACTTCCACCTCTAACCTCGACATACACGCTAACTTCAATTTTCATAGTGTGAACTATGAAATCTATCTAATAAAATGGAAATGAGGATCTGAAACTTTAAAAACCCAAGAACCAAAGATTTCAGTACACGAATTCTATGGTACAAGCATACCTGACCCCTCCCATATCCGTACAAGAACTTAAAATTGTCTGATCACTGTGGAGCCATGTAACAGTTCTGACAGAGCCAGGAGACTTGTCTACTTCTCTAGGAGGAGCATCAGGGCGATTCAGATCATATATTCGAAGAACTTTCTCAACTCCTCCAGTAAGTAAAAAATTGGTATCCTATTCCAGGAAAAGGAAGTAATTCTAAGAAGAGCATGAATTGATGGCAAGAAAGTGTTTATACAGGAAATGACTCAAAGATGTACCTCTGAGAAAGCACAGGCTCGAACAATGTGCTTGTGCTCAAAAGAATGCAGTATGTCCCCAGTTGTAGCATCCCAGATTTTTCTGTATCACAATAAACCAGATTGTACAAGGCAATCAATTGAATGCTGATCAATGGAGACAATACCACTCTTGTTAAATGCAGGAGATGACAAGAAGACACAAAGACATCAAGACAAATGCATATAATTTCTTGAGCGACTATCAACAGTGTGCAAGTTTTGTTCGCTTTGCAAGAGTATTGAGGAGCATGTTACATACGCAGAGAAGTCAGCAGAACCAGTAGCCGCACGAAAAGCATTTGTATCCAAGCAGCAACTCCAGACTGCACCTTTATGCCCTTCAAATGTTCCGATCCAATCTCCAGTCTCACCATTTCTAAGCATAGGATTGGAATCTGGAATATACGAACGAAATATGATATACTAATCAACTAGAAGTATGAAAGTGCAGAAAACAGGGTTCTTTACAACAATGAAATACAAACTAAGATAAACTCTCATATCTTACTCCTACCGGAACTAACTGCTTGAAAAATTATAAGCAAACAAGCCATTGAACATTGACATATGCTGGTTCGATTAAGGTGCCCTTCTCAGACAATACTCCTTTCACTCAATGCCAAAATAAGGAAGCAATCAAAACCTAGAGTTGCTTCTAGTAATTCACAATGATCGTCCTAATTTACACTGCTGACAGATAATGGACAAAAGTACTCAAGAAACTGTACATCAACGGTAATTAGACACGAGTATCAGCATGATCAGAGCCTTCTACTCGGGGGACGGGAGGAAGAATTTTAGAATCTCAAGAAATTTAACAAGAAACAATTGATTGTCGGAATGAAAATAATCTCAGTATAATTATCCAACGTATGTACCAACAGATACGTTGAATTTCTCGCATATATGTAAAATGTGAATAAAAACTTAGGAAAAACCGAAAAAAAAAGCGCAAACCTTTGCTGGCACTAATGAGGAAGTAGCCATCTGGAGTGACAGGACTATAGAACAAATCAACGACGGGGCGCGAATGGCCGTGGCAAACCAACGGTACCGCCACTCTCTTCTTATCCATTTCTCCCAAATACAAATTCTACTATGTTCAACAAAATACCTCAGCTATTTATGTATATCTACCGTTTTTAATCTAAAATTTTATTTATTTGATTGATATATATTCTAGAAAATACGGAAAAGATTTTTTAAAATTATTTTGAATGCAATGTTTTGTTGAGCTGCCAAAATTACAATTAATAAAATATAAAAGGGAAAAAAAAAGACAGCTGCAATTAAACAAGGTTGTAAGAAATGAGAAAGAAAATTCTGGTGGTGTATAAGATTTAAATGTACGTGAATCTGGCGGTATATGGAATACAAGTGGGATTCAGGAAAGGGAATCCGCACCTCCTAGCCCCTCCCTGTTAGCTCGGCTGTAGATGGAGATTTTCAAAATTGTGGAGATCAAGGGTTGGGAAAGAAAGAACTGAGAAAGAGGCGAGCGGGTGAACGGGTGACCGGGCTAGGCGCAGGGTCAAATTCTGGCCGGGCCAAGGCTTTTTATGGGAGGTTCATGGCTCTTTTTGTCTTTTCCTAATCCTCATGGATTGTTCCTGTTCGCTAAAAAATTACTACTATTAGAGTGGCATAAGTTCTGACATGTAAAATTGGTAGGAAAAAAATATAAATAAAAAATTCTAAATTTAAAGCCTTGCACTTAGAAAAGAAAAAGTCTTAGCATTGTTTAAAAATTAAAAAAAATTAGTCTTGACATGTATAAATTCTATTAATTTTTAACATTTCTTTTACAGAAATTATACAAATTAGCTTTTACGTAATACAACTTATTAATTGTCGCTCAGTAAAATTTTAAACAAATACAAAAAAAACTCATTCACGAAACCAGCCAAACTTTTGGTTTGTTGTATTCCAAGACCCGAATGAGTTTCTGAATTCGTTTGTTGTCATCCAAGACCCAATAGGAAATCCGCACCCCATCGACCCGCCCGATTTATCCGTATTTATAAATAGGGCAAGGAAAAAGGAAAAAAACAATACCAGAGTTCAGAGGAAATCGATCGTCATTCTGGTGCAATTGAATCCCCAATTCACCTATCATCAAAATCCGATAAAATCGAAGCTACCAAAGAAGCTTTAATAAAATGGCTACAGCAGAGGTAGAGAAGAACCGAAGTGGAGCAGAGAGAGAAGAGAGCTGTTCGAGCAAGGTTACGATGATGGTGAAGCAAGGCGAGGGCTTGCGGCAGTATTATCTCCAACATATCCACGATCTTCAGCTCCAGGTCCGCCAGAAATCCCACAATCTCAACCGTCTCGAAGCCCAACGCAACGAGCTCAATTCTAAAGGTTGCCAATGCCACTTCCAGTTCATTGCTTGCTTTTCGTTTACCCAAATAGTTAAAAACCCTAGCTTAATAGTTGATTTTTTTTTTTTCAAAATCTACACAATTTGCTAGTCCCACACTATGCCTTCGCAGTAAGGTGCCTTGGGCTGGGGGGTGGGGGAGGGGGAGGGCTATACACCTATTTTAAATAATGTTGTTGACGAATTCGCAGAATGTTGGAGGTATTATCTGGGGATTTGTTGGAGTGCTTAGCTTGTGATTTATTTTGGCAATGCACAAAGTGGATGTTAGGTCTCGAATTGGCAAAGTTTGAATCTTGAGAACCTTGGGTTAGGTGATTGGCAAAGTTCAGTTCTGTAGACGCAGCGGTGTGTGAAATTTTTACATTTTGGGATTCTTTTAAGGTACTTTCCTTTACAGAGAAGTAGTTTGGATATGGTTTTGAACACTTGACCCACATCATAAAGAGCTCAAAAGTAATAGGCAGGGGTCGGCAAGGACCTGAGTTTTGGATCGGATTACATATGCTGGATCAACTAATTGTCATATGCACAGAGGTCCTTAGCTGAAAATCATCTAAATCAGATTAGCAAGGTTTTTTAGCTTAATGAAGTTATTGGGGTTTGGGATATTAGAATTGACAGAGAGCAATATAAATTTACTATGCCCTTTTATTATATGCACAGAGGACTTTTATTATTGTTCTCTGGCATGAATAGTTTGTTCTTTTAGAATCTAGTAGCGCTTGTATCCATGGTTCAAAGCTGTCCTCATGTGTGATGTAGACACCTGTCTATCTAGTTTAAGTAAATAAGAGGATTTGGGACGGAAGAGTTGAGTTGAGTGCAAACGTCGCTATATTTTAGTAAACCTGTGGGACAATATGATTCTTCCTTTAGTTAATGCTTACTTGAACAACTTTTTGTATTTTAAGCATAAGCTAGCTCTTTTATCTCTTTATTTACTTTTACGAAGAGATGGCTACTATGAATTCTGTTTTCTATTCAAGCTGTCCGAATCATGACTAATTCTGATTTTTGCTTATCGTTCAACATGTGATTCGTGCAAGTTTGCAGTTTTAAATATTGAATTACCAGTTATTGTTTTATCTGTACTTGAAATGACAGTGAGAATGCTCAAGGAGGAGTTGCAACTACTGCAGGAGCCTGGATCTTATGTGGGTGAAGTTGTCAAAGTAATGGGGAAATCTAAAGTTCTAGTTAAAGTAAGTTTCCTTATGTTCTTGCAACCTCTCTTTTGAAGAATCCAAAACACAAAAAGAAAGCAAACAAAAAATTAATAGACGGAGTTCAATGCTTACGCTTTCCTTATTGTATATCCCATCAGGTCCATCCAGAAGGAAAATATGTGGTTGATATTGATAAAAACATTGACATTACAAAGATCACTCCATCAACCAGAGTTGCTCTCCGAAATGACAGCTATGTCCTGCATTTAATTTTGCCCAGCAAAGTGGATCCGTTAGTCAATCTCATGAAAGTTGAAAAAGTTCCTGATTCTACATATGACATGATTGGCGGTCTTGACCAGCAAATCAAAGAGATTAAGGAGGTTTTTCCCTTTCCATTTGAAATATTTGGAAATTATCATAGATGAACGTTGTAATTTTGATGTTATTGGATAATTGATTTCTTTGCATTCTGTTCCTGTTGCATTCCAGGTTATTGAGCTTCCAATCAAACATCCTGAGTTATTTGAGAGTCTTGGGATAGCTCAACCCAAGGTGCTAATTTGTAGCCTAGCTATTTGAATATGTTGCCTTTATGATAATTTAACTTTCTACTCATGCTCTCTCTTTTATTTTTTAAATGGCAGGGAGTCCTACTTTATGGACCTCCAGGAACTGGGAAAACACTGTTGGCCAGGGCAGTCGCACATCATACTGATTGTACTTTCATCAGGGTCTCTGGTTCTGAACTAGTGCAAAAATATATTGGGGAAGGTTCCCGAATGGTGAGGGAACTTTTTGTCATGGCCAGGTTGGTTGCAAAACTTGCTGCTTCATTTTAATATCCTTGAATTTTCATTTCACTGAAGTGGCTATATGCTCATTTTCCTTGTTTTCTGCAACATTTCTTCTAAATGTGGAAACCAAGTTGGTTGAAAGAAGCTAAGGAAAAGGTGGGGTAGGATCCAGCATTTAAGATTGTTGTGTGATGATTTATTGGAACATTACTTGCTATTAGGTATTATTTTGAGATATTACGTATGATGCAAGGTTTTTCCATCAATCAAAGAAGTACACGAGTATTTTAGTGTCACAAGAATGAACATCCAAACTGTTACCTTTTTTGGGCCAGCAGGTTGTGGGAGACTGCAAATTATATGCATTGGAGTAAAATGTTAATTTGTGAACTTTTGGCTAGCAGATGATTGTGTTGTAGGCTGGATCTTAGAATTGGCATTTGAAACAAGATTGTTCTCCTATAGACAACAGAGGAAAAAAGAAAGTTTAATTAGAAATATAGAAAAATTCGCGTGGAGTCGAAAAAAATGAAATACAAGAAGGATTGACTCTTCCAATTTATCTGTATCAGATTTTAATCATAATTGCGTTAACTTATTTTACATGATTATAGCATAGGGCTGTATTGTGTATTGCAAAGTGAATGCCTACTAGCAGCTCTTAAATTTCTCTGTTGCAATGGGGCAAAGTGATCCAGACACCCACAAAAAATATTCTCATTGTTCAGGAGAATTGAGAAACGTCATCTACCAGTTGAAAGCATAAACCTCTGGATCTCTTACCTTTTAAGATTTTTTTTGGGGGGTCCTATTGACATTTGCTTTAAGCTTTTTGCCATTGAAGCATGGCTTTTGCTGGATGATACAGTTTCATGATTACTTTTAACAGTGTATTGTAAGGACTAAATTTCCTTATTTTGGGCTTTATTGTTGTTTTATAGGGAGCATGCCCCATCCATCATTTTTATGGATGAAATAGACAGTATTGGTTCTGCGAGAATGGAATCTGGAAGTGGCAATGGTGACAGTGAAGTACAGCGGACGATGCTGGAACTTCTCAACCAACTTGATGGTTTTGAGGCATCAAATAAGATCAAGGTGAATACATACATTGGCGCTTTATTGAATATCAGTTTTGTGTTTATCCTTTATGTTCATGGTGCTGTAGTAGTTAAAATTTGCCTGTTCAGGTTTTGATGGCCACAAATCGTATTGATATTTTGGATCAAGCTCTCCTTAGACCTGGGAGAATTGACCGGAAGATAGAATTTCCAAATCCGAATGAAGAGGTATGTGGATATTTAGACAATGTTCTGAATCCTTGAAAGTGTTTTTTCTTGTCTACTTCTTCAGCTTTTTAGCTCATTGAAACGCTTCTTGTCTCATTATAAATATTTCAGTCCATGAGGATGGATCTCTTCTGCCTTTCATTTGTAGTCCTCCTGGGAAGTCAAATCATGAAATGTATAGTTAGGGAATGCCCTTGCGTGTTTTCCTAGTCTAACATTGTTGAAATTTCCTCAGTTAGATATTGCTTTTGGATGCTTTCATGGTCTAAACTGTTGAAATCTCAGAAAATGCATTTTTATCCTATTTTTGCGTATCTTTTGTACTTTCACATAGATGCACATGCTAAAGCAACAATTTTTAGGTCTTCGTTTTTTCATGTCATATCAGTGAGTTTGTCTTGGTTTTACTTATAATAATTTTGGTAGTTAGTTCCATCAGTAACCTGTTTATAACTTTTCATCAATTGACTTTGGTACTGAAATGCTTTGCAGTCTCGGTTCGATATTCTAAAAATCCATTCAAGAAAGATGAATTTAATGCGTGGGATTGACTTAAAGAAGATTGCAGAAAAGATGAATGGTGCATCTGGTGCAGAATTGAAGGTGCAAGTCTATCTGCTTCTATATTTTTTGCTTAGTGCTTAACCCTCTGTTTCTTGTGTCGTATACTAAGAAACTGGCAGGTTCTTTTTTTTTTTATAATAATAATGATGCATGTTTTTGTTGCTTATGTTGCATCTGTACCTCTAACTTGACTCTTTCTGCATCCTCAGCTGATGTAAGTGTATGAAACTTGTTTCATTCAAAGTAGTTGTCATTAGGAAGTCTGGCTAAATGCAATAGGCGGTACTGGTGAACTGTCAGGCTCTGGGTTCCAATCCATGATTTGTTTGTGATTTTTGCACATCTGCCAACTTTCAGATTTATTGATACATGAATTCCATATTCATATATTAATTATGTTATGTGGTACCACTGGATTTTGTTAGAACTCTTAGACAATTGGAGTGTAGGTGAGAACCAATTTCTGGTTTATCAACTCTGTCCAACACCAATGCTGAGCTGAATTGATTGGGTTGGGTTTTTTCTCCCACTTCTTTAGTTGAATGTAGGAGTATTCGAGTGCTAGAGTGGGGGGTTGAGAAATTGATATTTCTGACTTTTCTTTTGGTTAAACCTTTAGCATGTATTTCAGTGATCTGAGTTTAGGCAGCTTTGTATTGATTGTGCACTTGAGAGACAATTTTGAGTTAATTTTGAGTTTAAAGATCAAACGAGTAGATTTTACTCGTTTCATGATTCTTTTTCTACATATATACTCTATTTTTTCTCCCCTTTGATGTGAATAGGATACTCAGCATCAGCTTTTAAGTTCGCTTAAGCTTTATTGGCCCCTTTATTGCAGGCTGTGTGTACAGAAGCAGGGATGTTTGCTCTGAGGGAGAGGAGGGTTCATGTGACGCAAGAGGATTTTGAGATGGCTGTTGCCAAGGTGATGAAAAAGGAGACGGAGAAAAATATGTCCTTGCGAAAGCTATGGAAGTAATGAGAGTTTTGGTTTTCTCTGGATTGATGTACTTGAAAAGTGTCCAAGTTTCCGTTTAACTTTGGTTTTATGTAGCAGAATATCGTTGATCTGGAAGATACCATGTTTGCATCTGTCGTTGCTCGCCTTTGCGTTAGTAACCCCAGATGCAAATCGGTTGTGTTATTTTCTGAGTTTGACGTTTTTCCTCCCTTGTCTTGCGAACATTTGTATGTAATTTTATGAAGTGAGTTCGATAAAGTTCTTAATCCAACCCGAGGTTTTATGACTCGTGTCATTTTCTTCTTAATTTCCTTCTCTCACTGACGAAGCATATACTCCATGCAATTAAAGATGTCACAAGCAGAGGTGTTAAAATGAGTGATTCAAACGGGTATAATTGATAATTGAATCATCCGGTATAATTGGGTCAACTAATTTGAGTCAATTCATTTATATTTATTTAATAAATAGGCATAGGTAATATTTAATTATCCATTTAATTCACTTGAAATTTTTACTTGTTAATTTTTTTTTTATTTTTTCACACATTGTTTGATAAGAAATAGTAGTAATATTTTATTGTTATTAGATTGATAGAAAATTCAAATGTATTTTTGTTTGAAACTCATTAATATTTGAGTTTAAGTGTATAATTATTTTAAAATAATTATAAATGGACGCGTCGAATCAGTCCACTGTTTATCAATTAAATGGTTTAATTGAATACTTGTTTAAATCCATTTAAAGTTCGTTGCACACTTCAGCGGACGGGTTTGGATAGTTCAACAATTAATTAGGATACAATCGACCGACTTGTGATTGACACTTGATCTTTGATGATAACATTTTGAGTGAAGTTCCTTTCTGGATTTCCAAATCAACCACATTCACAATGGCAAATCTCCAAAGAGTGATCATTAATTTAAGTAAACAGCGCGTGTATCCAATCAAAAAACTGAATCAAGTTTCTTTCCGATCGGTGAATCCCAAAAAAAACTCCGGGCACGCGTTTTGCGGGGGGTTTAATGTTTGGCTATTGTCCTTGATTGGTCATAGTTTGCTTCTGACTGACGATGCTTACGCGTCGCGTCATGCAAGCTGAAGATTGCATGAATTCATATTGTGATGCTAAATCTCATAGGTTCGTTGCCATGTTAAAAAGTAACACGAAGGAGTGATTCGACTGGCCTGAATGTTTCTCCAACCATGCAAGTAGACCTTAAAATTGCTGCAAACTGGATAATAGCAGATCATTGCTACTAATTAAAAAGAGAAAAAAAAAAAGTAAATTGAAAAGTCGATAATAGCAGGCAATTGCCCCGCCAACGTCTCCTGTTTTTTGGTACAAATAGTGAAATAGCGCGTAAAATTGGAGAGACGAGACGTTGGTTAATGATGACTTTAGTATTTAAATGTATACAAGTAATTGATAAATTAAAAATTCCTATATCTCAAATAATCCAAATAGTAATTTAAAAGGATTTTAAAAAAATTTAAAGCATTCATCAAATTCCCTCGCTCCATGCGTTGCATAAATGAATGCTAATTTATGCCAACAAAGTCAACTTCTTTCTACCTGTGTTAGCCATACAAAAAATTTGATGAAAAAGTACTTGGGGGGTAATTCTCGACTGATATGGGCCCAAATTAACAATACCTTCTGGCGGAAACTTCTTCAGATGGCCCATCCAGCCCAGATTATAAGTCCATATTTGTCCTCGTGCAGTCCAGAAATACCTACGTGTAGTATTCCAAGCCCTATCCACTTATGTATATCAGTAATTACTTGCTTAAATTAGTTAATCGCTGATAACAGCGTATTCTTCTCTTCTCTTCACTTCTTTAGTAATTAAAGCAGAAAAAGAATAAGAGGAAAAAATAACGAAAAAACGGAGTCAGCAGTCAAGAGAAGAGACCCTCCCCCCTTGACGCTTTCTGTACTACAATTAAAAAAAAAAAAAAAAAAAGAGCCTAAATTTGATTAAATTTCTCGTTTACTCCGTCTCCTCTCCAAAAAATTCCAGTCCGTAATTCCTACGTTTCTTTGCTCTATTTATATTCTCAAATTTGTTATTTTAATTCAATATAGTTCTTTATATTGTAATTCATTCCAATCTTGCATTTTCAACTTTTTTCCCTGTTATTGAGATAGGGTTTTCCGATGAACGGAGAATTACAGCTGGAGTCGATTGGTGGTGACCGGAACCCCAGTGACTCCGATCCTCTGCTTCATGAACGCCACCAACTTCAAAAGCATATCGACACTTCGTCGCCATCGTCCTCGGGAAGCTCCAGCGAGATAAAGGATGAAGACCTTGAGGCCGGTTCCTTGCCTTGTTGTAGGATTTGTCTCGAATGCGACGGTGAAGATGGTAAAACTGTTGCTAGTAATCTGTATATTAGTAGGTTTCATCTGTTCAGAACGGTGTATTTCATCGCGTTGTGTTGGTTCTTTGGGGATTTTGGTTGTTCAATTTTTTATTGGTATATTTTCTCTTGGGGTGTGGGAGGTGGTTATGTTTCCGTGTTTATATTACTGCTTGGTGTAGCTGTAAATTGCAATTTGGGAATGGGTTTATCTGAGAGGTTACTGGCTAATGCAATAGGTCTAAATACGACATTTCTGGTGCTTTGGGCAAGCTCAATTTTTGCGTGTGAACTGTTGGTTGATTTTTGCTGCTTCAAAGGCCCCCACGTTTTTTAGTTTAATCGATTTTTTTGTCCTTTATTTGAGAAACAAAATTTGACACTTATCAAGGAGAACAAAAATTTACAGTTTTATGCTTTAACATGTAAATGTATATTGTTAACTTCAATATAGGATTGTCTTACGATTATTACCGACAAAGGTGATGACTAGGTAGAAGAGTTATGACAATTAGGACAAGTTTGTTTATCGTCATCAAAATTTGTTACCATTGGAAGCATGAGAGGATATTCCCGATTCTTGAACTCGAAAGCTTTAAAGCAAGAAACTTGTGTTTGTACATTCAAGGATCTGTCTAGTTAATCAAGCATTAATTTTTGTTCATTGGAATTGATTGTTCAAGTGCTGATGATGTCATATTGCTTTTCATACATTTTAAACTGTCATATATTTGAACTGTCATACATTATTGGCATCCATTCTCGATAAAAGTGCAGTCTCCTTTTTGTAATGGCTTGGGATAACCATTTATAGTGGTTGAGCAGTATGTGTTGGTATTGTTCTTCTGCCGTGGACTGTGATTGCACATTGAGTCTCATTTTGCTAGCCTAAAAAATTATTTTTCCTTGATTGGTAGATGATGAATTGATATCTCCGTGCATGTGCAAAGGCACACAGCAGTTTGTTCATCGTTCTTGCCTTGATCACTGGCGGTCAGTCAAGGTGAGGAGAATAATTCTGGTGTGACCACGTGGTGATACTAAGGATGCAGATTCTGTTGTATTGATCATAACAGCATGCAAATGCAGGAAGGTTTTGCGTTTTCTCATTGCACAACTTGTAAAGCTCAATTTCATCTTCGAGTGGCAGAGTTGGAGGACAATTCTTGGCGAAAAATAAAATTTAGGATCTTTGTTGCAAGAGATGTTTTCCTCGTATTTCTTGCTGTACAAACTGTAAGCATGATTTTTTACTGTCAATTTCATGTAAAGTGTGGATATAAGGATTCTTTTTAATTTATATTATTGGGGTTAAATTAACTTTATCTTAAAAGTTGGGAATGGCTATGCATGTTTTCTAAGTTCTGAGGTTTTATTGTTGTTGCTATCTCCCATAATGATTGGATGGACACAATTGGTGCTTTAGTAGTTATTTTGCTGTAAGTTTATAATATCAAATTTAACTAAATCTACACTCTACCGCTAGGAGTGAAGGATTGAATTTGAGGATATTCTGTAATGAACTATATAGCTCTGGATTTGCTTGTGGCTAATCCCCAAATGGTTATTTGGTTGCTAATTTTCTCACTTTAATTTACTACTAAACTAGTCTTTTGGCTCACGCATCTGAATTGGTACCCAGATTGTGTGATTTCTTGAAAATCTAAAGTTAGTGGTGAGTGAGCGCTGAGGTCCTCAACTTTGAAATGTTTTGTTTAGATACATGAATGAGTTTTCTCATTTAGTTCTTCTCTGACTTTTTTCTTTTCTTTTTCCTTGTTTTTCTAAGTTTTATTAAGTAATAAAGAGGTGAACATAAGCATATGAGGTTGTTGCGGCATTCTGTCACAACTGTCAGTTGAGACTTTTGTTTTCTCTTTTTTTTCCTTTAGACATGATGCATGGCATGGACTTCAAATTTCTATACTGGGTGTCTTCTAATGTCTTAACTTGTTTTCACTTGTTCCTTCAGGTGATTGCTATGATTGGCGGTTTTGCTTACCTCATGGATAGAGATGGATCTTTCAGGAACTCGTTCAATGATAGCTGGGATCGCATACTTTCTAAGCATCCAATTCCATTTTATTACTGTATAGGTGCACCGACAAATTTATTTTGTAGACCAAAGACTAAATGCATCAAAGGTCCACTATTGTATCTCCTGTGGTGGATTTGTTAGTCCTGTGGGCAAAGACTTACATAGACCTGGTCCACCGCCTCGAAATAGACCCTGTGGAAATAAATAAGCCACGCCGCGCTTTTTCTTTGCAATCTTCAGGCTTTTCAGCAAGGAAGTGATGTGGCGAGTTTTTGGCCACATGGTCCACAGCCTTGCTGGTGGACCAGGTCTATCCAAGTATTTGCCCTTGCGGTGCTCCATTTTCGGTGAAGTGTGACCTTTTTATGTTAAGAAAAGATGTTTATTTCGGTGAGATGTGACCTTTTTATGTTAAGAGAACACGTTTAAAAGGATAGCATAGATGAATGGCTTGATGATCTTATCAAATATATAAATGGGGTTTGGCCTGGTAGCCAGGGTTCTGAAGGGAGAGAATGACATGAGCATGGTGATGGTCTAGCTCTTGTGTCACTTACAAAAGAATATCATGGTTTTCGTCGAAAAGATAGCCTGGCTGTTGGGTAGGCAGTTTTTAATGTGTTTTAAACCCATAAACTTAGGAAATATTTTAAATGTACCTTGCAACTCATTTCCATGAAATAAATGAGACTGTATTATGAAGATTTAACTTCTTTTAAGCATGTCAAGATGGGTTTTCCTTCCACTTGATTTTATTGTTTTCGCAAGATTCTGATACAGTTGTTGCCTTTCAAGTATTCCTGAATTTGCTGGAATTGTTAATGCGATAAATCTTGTTACTACTGATCTGGTAACATTAATCAATAATCGGGTTGCATGTTTTAG